GACATTCACATTTTAAGTGAGAGATTGGATGAATGATAAAAGCAAAGTATCACATGCTTAAAGGTCTCAGTTCAAAGCATTCTGCATTTGTTCACACCTGCTGAGCACCTGCCCCATCACTGAGCTGCACATCCTCAGCTCCACATCTTTTTAAAATTTTTATTTATTTAAGGTTTACTTATTTATTATGTATACAGTGTTCTGCCTATATGTATGCCTGCAGTGCAGGCCAGAAGAGGGCACCAGAATGCATTATAGACGGTTGTAAGCCACCATATGGTTGCTGGGAATTGAACTCAAAACCTCTAGAAGAACAACAGCCAGTGCTCTTAATCTCTGAGTCATCTCTCCAGCCCAGCTCCACATTTTTAAAAATATCACTTAAACATTCTATACTATAAAAGTATATGTAAATATCTGCAAAAAGCAAAATAAAATATCAAAACCACAAATCATGAAGATAATTTTAGCTACTTAAAATGTGTAACACAAAAACATTTTACTAAAACTCACTTTAATGTGAAAAGGAGATTGGGATTTCTTTCAAGTAAACTTGGGTATAACTGTTGTGTTGTTTCAATGGCTTCTCCCATTCGTCCTGCTAACACCAACTTCTGAATTCCTATTCAGAAAAGAAAGCAAAATATTAACTCTACAAAAGCAGAGAAATCCTTGTATCACTCCAGAAAAAAAGGAATAGTGAAAAACCTCTAAAATAATTATTGTTAAACTCTCTTTTTAAACCTTTTAAGTTTAGATTAGGGAATCCAAGGAAAAATTTCAGACATTAAAAATTAGAAAAACAAATATCTTCAGACTCTACTTTAAATATCATGAATGGGTATGTAAGTATTATAGGAAAAATATCCATTGAGAAGTACTATATTTTCAAACAGTAGAATTTAGAAGACTATCGACGCTTAAAATGTCTTATCAAACCTTGCCTCAGGACTGGAACACCAGACTTTGAAAAGATCAGAACTTTGCTAAATTAGACACTGAGGACATAGAATACTCAAGTAAGTGACTCCTCTGCAGGAGAGTGCACTGCGGCAGTGAGAAAAAAATAGTATAACAGTATAACGTGTGCTACAGCATGCTCCAACTGTTACCAGTCTGCTCTGTTTCATCTTTCCACTCTTGTCTATCAGGTGGGACCTCCTCTAATGACTAACTTACATCTACTGTCAGCATGCTTTGCCCTGGTTAAAACAGTAACAGCACTGGCCAGCTCAAGGCCCTAAGCAATAAAAACTTAAAACCAATACTACCTTAAATTTCAGAGAAAATTAGAAGATATTTAAATTTCTTTCAAAGAAAAACATTCTTTTATATACTGTCACCCTCAAGACTGTCACCAAAGCAACAAAAGAAAACTTTCTTTGTATCAAATGCTTCCTATTTTAAGAAGCTTAAAAGAGTTGTCCCTCCTCACCCTCCACCTACCAGGTCTGACAGCAAACCCAGAGCACAGGGCTGTATTGACGACCTCAATCCCAACCACAGGAAAGCAATCTTTGCATGGAAATATGATAAAGGCATTTCTTTCTAAAGTTCTACAAGATTATTTCTATATTTAAAACTCCAGTGTAAATTTTTCTTTAAAAATTTCAAAACTGTCAATGAGCGTGACATAAGAATGAGGTTCAAGGTCACCTTGGTCTATATGAGACCCTGTCTCAAACAGAAGAACTCCTCGTCCCTGGCACAAAACAAAAACATTCAAAAAGTAAATAAAAATAAATCCGAAGGCATCCACTTTAAAGCAATATATTCATGAAATCTTTAATTAAAAAGAATAAAATTTCTACAAGGTAAAGCAACCAAACTTATAATTTAAAAACAAGTATTTGCTGTGCACCATGATGTTCTTACTTTGTCTATTCTTAATGGAAGCTAATTCTTCTAGAACAGTCTGGTCTGTAGATCTGGCAAAGGCCTCTGCTGTGGCACAGTACCCATGGTGGACTAAATAAGATGAAACCATTCTTAAAAGGAAAAACAAAGAAAAAAACATATCTTTTAGTCGGGAGAATACATATGTTTCAGACAACAAGCTTTGTTTAGCAAAGTCTAATCTGGTATTACAAAATTAATCTATTTCCTTAAAGCCAGGTTCTATGACTTTCAACTTTAATATAAGTTATGGATAGTCTAAAACATAATTTAAAATAAGACCAAAGGCATTAAATTATCTTTTTTTTTTTTTATTCTTGGATCCTTCTTCTCCCCTGGCTCCTAATTCGTTTTCCTGTTATCTAATCCTACTAATGATAATTTCTACCTCACCTTAAATATAGATATCCCAATAGTATGTTAGTTAGGTGTAAAACACCCAATTTTGAGATAACTGATTAATTCCTGGTGTTCTGGAGGACCAAACACTTTCTGTACTCATTAATCCAGTAAGATGGGATCTCAAAGTTTGAAGAGAGACACTGATGTTAGCCCAGAGAGAGAAATGTTCAGAATAAACCCACAAGGGGTCATTAAACAATAAGGAATCAATCTTGCAATCAACTTGATTTTGAACAGAAAATTAATTTGCAGTTTATAGACAATACATTTCTAAGACAACAATCCTATGTTTTAAAAAGCCATGAATAGTTAGCAAACTGGTAATACAACAACATTAATCAAAAATCTGTTACCTCCAACCACTGTCTTCTTTAAATAAAACCCCAAAAGATTTTCTTAGAATTGTAAACTGAAGAACCTTTAAAGCAATTAAAAATACACTTTCGCAACCATGTCACACTGATACTATCTAAAGATCTTAGCTATTTTCTTGCCTAGATTATACAATCACAATGATTTTAACTTAATGGTATTTAAGTTTTGTATGTGTACTATCTACTTCACGTTTTAACAACTGTCACTTACTCCTAATGATAACCAGACAGTGTCTCTGGACTTCTGGACAGATGTATAGTCTAAAAAAGCTGACTGACATAGAAATTCAGTTTCCTGCTGTTTCTTATGAAATTCTACAACATAAATCAAATATATAAAGCCACTGAAAAGCTCTTCCTAGTAACAGATTTAACACTTACTTTCTTCTCTGCTGCTGGCCATCCTCCATTATTATTAATGAATTCAAAGTATTTATGCTGCACTTGGGCTAACTCCACAGTCAATTGTTCCTTGGTCTTCTTCCCTTTATCTTATCCTAAGTGTCTAATGGTAACTTATATAAAAAATAGCATTAAAAATAGTCACTAAAACTTTTTTATTTTTAAAATTACATCTATTTTTTAATTTATTTGGTGTGCGTGTACACTCACACAACAGCACACATGTGGAGGTCAGAAGACAACTTGTAAGAGTGTTTCTTTCTAGAGTATGTGGGTTGCAGTAACACAACTCAGTGGAAAGGCTCAGGAGCAAGGTAACTTTAGCCATCTTTACCCAAATTTTAAAAATTAATTTAAATTTTAAAGCCTTTTAGGTAGAGGTCTATAGTTAGATTCTTGAATAGGAACAATTATAGTCTTTCTGAATTTAAATGCTAAATACAAAGAAAAGGAGCTCACTCCAATAATTAGAGGCCCCCTGCTGACACTCTCACAGAGAGAGAACCCACACAACTCACCCTTGGAAACGGTGTATGTGCATTCTGACTATACTCCCATATATCTCCACATTGAGAGTGAGCATCAAGCAGCCATTCTCTTTCCCCCACTGTACCTGAACTACTGCAAAGGAAGGTGCTCGAGGTCATGTTCCTAAATCACAGAACCCAAAACATAACATCTAGGTCACACCTTTAAAACCTATCTTTTTTGCCAACATTATTAGAAATTTGACTGTATAATCTACAGAATGCGTTCAGTAATATTACTAAGGTTAACAAAGTAAATGAACAAGCATCACTATTTCCTCCATCCAATTAAGTCAAACAAATACAATTCTCTATGTGCCTTAAATAATTTTATTTCAACTGTCAAATTACTTTTTGAGAGATTAAAATACAATCAGTAGTACACACAAATGATTAGGATTTAACCTAGACTTCTAGATACGTATCTTTAAAAAGGAATAATTTGCCTTATAAACACTCAGTGTTTACATTCTGTACATACAAAATTCCTTGCTCTTACTTTTGTATCATGGTCTGCCATTCTCCTTCTCGATCCCCAATAGGAAACCGGTCTATCTGGGCCTGTATTTTGGTTCTCCATTCTCGCATGTAGTCTTCTATATCAAATACAAAAGGATGTTGTCCAAAATTGGCATCAACCACTTCTCCTGGTGTCTGAAGCCCCACAGTAGGATACAAATTTGGCTGTAAGACAACATATTTCTTTAAATATCTATTGATTATACACTAAAGACTTCATTTTCTTTGCAATGCAAGAATAGAACCATAAATTTACTTCATGAATATTTTTAAATCTCAATCAAAGTATTAGTGGAAGACAACTAAAACAACACATTATGTGTTGGACAAAAACTGCTATTTTCTAAACTCTAATCATCAAGAAAGTGTAAACAACTAAGATATTCACATGAATGATTCTGAGACCCTGTTGCATAATCCATGTAGCACTATATGTCTAATATATGAAAAATCTAACCCATGCTCTTAAAACATCATATAACAGTTACAAAGCTTTAGGATTAACACACAACTCAGGTTTATCCCAGCTTTTATATAAGCTACATGTCTACAAAATGTACATTACAGCTAGTTCAAAGAAAATACCATTTATAATCTACTACAATCAACAGCACACTTGGGAGCCCGCCTTTATAAAGTCAGTGGTAAAAACTTGCTTTAAGCAAGACATGGTGTCATCATGGGGATTTTCTTTCTTTAAGAAAAAAAATATGGGGGGCTGGAGAGATGGCTCAGAGGTGAAGAGCATTGCCTGCTCTTCCAAGGGTCCTGAGTTCAATTCCCAGCAACCACATGGTGGCTCACAACCATCTGTAATGGGGTCTTCTGGCCTGCAGGCATACATACTGACAGAATATTGTATACATAATAAATAAATAAAAAAAAGAAAAAAAATATGCAACGTTTTATGTGTCACCCTTGAACAGGGGCCAATCTAATCTTCTACCGTTCCAATTTAGAGGATTCTTAATGCAAAATAAAAGCTCAAATGTACAATTTCAAAGGAAGAGGCAAATATGAATATTCACACTGAAATGCGTTCAAAAATACCCTAAGATTTTAATCTGAAAAAAAAAAGAAAATGTAAAAAGTAGCAGCTTCAAATGCACACATAAAAAAGTCAGGATTTCTTTTTTTGCTGTGATTAATCCACTGCTGCACCCAAAAAGAGACCAAACACTGAGTGTTCATTAAATCTCAGGTCCACTCATTAAAATCAACTGTGAGGTACTTGTTACCACTTCACAGATGTACAAGTTAAACAATTGTTCAGGGTTGCTCTACTACTAGCAAGCAAAGACAGAACAGAGGCAAACAATACAACATCAAGCTCTATTTTTATTGAGACTCCAAACCCTCCCATGCCTTTAGTACTTGGATTATCACAAGCATTTTCAAAACAAAACAAGGTAAATATTAAAGGGGGATAAAATGTGTGCAGAAAGAGATTTTACAGCAGACTAAATATTTAAAAATAACTGTTCAATAAGTAACACAAAACAGAAATAAAATAGTATGTCAAAATAAATACGAAATCTTATTAGATTATTAAGATATCTAGTAAGACAAAGTATTGATTCTTTTGGTGGGAAGATATGGTTATGTATGTTATCAAAACAAGAATCTCAGGATAGCCTTGAACTCATGACACTTTTCCTGTCTCAGCCTTCAAAGTGCTAAGATTACAGGTGTGATCTATCATGCCTAGCTTTAACTTTTAATAATCAGCAGAATGAATTTAAAAAAAATTAAAGCTAGAGCAGGCCGACACAATACAATCTTCTCGTTTCACCAGTCAGAAAGCCTGAGACCAATAATAGCACAGCTTGTTAATGACATCACATAAAAGGAAAAAAAAATCTTGTCTCTTTACTTCTTACATGGGAAACTTTACATTAAAACCATCACAGAATTATTAGATATTTTTCAAACAAAAATATGTAAGGGATCAAAGACAATAAAGACATCAATGGAGGGCAAGACAGTTCTGTGATTTCAGTACAAAAACTACAAGCTTAAGTGGTTTTGTGGTTTACATGCAATCACATGTATTTAGAACACACATGGCAGGAAATTCCTTCTTCAAAAACTATCATCCTTGACTATTCAGACACAACAATTTTATGTCTTGTTCAAAATAGAAAAAACTATTTCTACTAATGTACATGTTCAAATTCATACTTAACAACTGAAGTTTTGTTATATTTTAAATATTTCTTCAAAAAAAGGCAAATAATGTATCTGTGCTACCAGCTTGTAGACTTGGAAAGCATCATCGTTCTAAATGCAAACGGGACTAGAGGATGGCTCAGTTAACAGCACTTGTTGACCTTGCAGATGACCCACATTCAGGCTCCAGAAGCAACGTGGCAGTCCACAACTGCCTGTAACTCCAGATCCTGGGGTTCATACATGAGTTACACATATGGGCACTAAGCATGCATGTGGTGTGGAGAGAGATGCAGATAAAACATGAGTACATATAAAACTAAAAATAAATCTTAAATGAGAACAGCTAATGACACCAGGAGTATGTACCTGATTTCAAACTGAATTAGCTTGTTTAAAGTTTAAAATATTTCTCAAACAGAAGTGAATTGAGGAAGAAAAAGTATTTTTGTTAAAAAGTTTAAGGTTTAGGCGTAACACTCGGGAGGCTGGGAAAGGATCACAGCAGGTACCAGCCCAATTGGGGCTCCAGAGTGAAACACCATCTCAAACAACAACTAAAGGTGTAATGTTGTCAGAGCAGTATGAGCACACATGACCAATGAATTGCACAAGGCAGTCGAGGAGAATTAAGGCTTTTTGCAAATATATGGCCTCGGGATTCAATGCTCCAACTAACTCAGAAGAAACTATAGGTAAGGAAAATAAGTATTTTCTGCAACCCCTTTTAAGGGAAAGACTAGCTTTTCTTTTATCTTGCAGTTGAAAAGAGAAGTGCAACATGCAGAAGACCTTTAGAGACGCTATAAAGGAAACTGGTAAGAATTACCACCATAACTACCTTGCTCAGTAACAATAAAGTGGCCACTGATTCCCTATAAATGTGTGTGGGAGAGTGGGGGGGGGGGATACATACAACAAAGTGGGAAAGAAAACCACTAGATGGGCAGACACACACACACGCCTAAAACCAGGTATGCCTTGTTAAATGATCACTACTGAACTGCCCAACAAAGAGCTGAGAAGAACCATTACAGCACAGTCCACCTGAGGACAGGGTATAACATGCTTAGAGCCTAACAAGCAAAATGCCCTGCAACAAAACCCTGTAACTAATTCCAAGTGAATCTTGAGAGGTTTTTTGTTTTGTTTTGAGACAGAATTTCTCTGTAGCTTTGGAGTCTGTCCTGGAGCTCGCTCTGTAAACCAGGCTGGCCTCGAAATCACAGAGATCCGCCTGCCACTATCTCCCGAGTGATGGAATTAAAGGTGTGTGTCACCACCGCCAGACAAAGGATTGTCTTGATGACAGACCCCGCAACAGTTAAGGATGCCATCATCTTACCTACTAGAATTTACCTGCAGGGTCTGGGACATAGCTCAGTGGGTAAGTGAACTTGCTGTGAAATCAAAAGTAACTGAGTTCAAGTCCCCAGCACCCATGTAAAAGTTGGACATGGTTGTGTGTGCCTGTAATGACAGTGCTGGGGTGTTGCTGCATCCTAACAGCTCCCTTGTGGGAAGGGGTGAGAACAATAGAGGACTCCTGATCTTCTTCTCCTTTGGCGTGTGCCACCCTCACCACATATGTATACGCTCCCACACAAAACAATTTGCACCTGTATACTTTGCTTGTCACTCCCATAAATGCTCTATTTAAAAGCAAATCCCCTCCACTTACACATTTGCTTTTGAAGAATATGGCCATTATATTAGTTTTCCTCTCTGTATTATATCAACTTTTTGTTTTCTAGTGAATCACTTAACAATATTCTGCTAAATCTAACTCAATGTTTTTTTTTTTCTACTCATCTGCTTTCCACTGCCAGTTACTGCCCTAAATCTCTACTTTCCCCATCACCAAAGTCATCCACAATCTCTTATTTACTCTGGGTCCTCACAGACAGGAGACATCACAGCACTGATATAGTTGATGACTCTCATGGGCTTGGCGTTTCAACACTTGGTCCCCAGCTCGTGATATTATTTGGAGAAGTTTAGGAGGAAACATGTCACTGGAAAACAAGCTTTGAGAATTAATAATCTCTCTCTCTACTTCTAAGTTCTCTCCACTTCAGGTTTGTGGTTGAGAATGTGATAACTCCATCTCCTGCTCCTGTCATAATGCCTGCTGCCAGGCTTCCCTGCCATGATAAGACTCTTACCCTCTGAGACATAAGTCAAAACAAATTCTTCCCCAAGTCACCTGTGATGGCAATGTTTTAACATCTACCAACAAGAAAACAACTCCTCCTAAATTCATATCTTCATCAGCCTTTCAGTGTTAATTCATTGTCTTCCTTACCTCACTGACAACTACTCAATTTCTCTTTGATAGTTCCTTATTTTCCCCTAAACTTACCATGTCCTAGAAATTCGCCCACTTCTCTTCTGGGTCAACACATAGTTGCACGTTGTTCACAACCAGCTTTAAGACTTTGACACCTAAATGCCAAATGGCCCCCAAGTTTACAGCAGACATTTTTCTTAATTCCAGCTTGCAATCCCAACTGTATACTTGACCTTGACTCTTACATCAAACTAAATTACTCACTCTGCCCCCAAAATGTTCCAACAAACCCAGGTGTGGTGTCTTCTAGGAGGGCTATGGCAGAAGGGCTGCTTGAGCAATCGCTCAAGCACAAGTTTAGGGGCAGATGGAGCAACATGGAGAGTGCCTGTCCTAAAAATAAAACACAAGTGCTGGGTGTAGCTCAGTGCTAAAGCTTTTCCCTACCAAGCACAGGAACCTACAGTTTGATCCTCTGATACAAACAAAGAAAACTTTTCTGCTTTAGATAGGACTAAAAGCAGGCCTATCGCCACCATCCATTCTCTCAGTTCCTCAGGCCTACAATCTTAAAATGAAGTTCTTTCCTTTTCTTTAAAAGATTATTTGTGTGTAAAATCAAGTTCTTTCCTTTTCTTTAAAAGATTATTTATTTGTGTGTATGTAGATGAATATGATATTACAGAGGCCAGAAGAGTGTGTCAGATACCCTGCAGCTAGAACTACAGGTAGTTATCAGCTGTCTGGTATGGGTGCTAGGAACTGAATTCTAATTCTCTGGAAGAACAGCATGTATTTTTGATTGGCGAGCTATCTCGTTAGCTCCTAAATCCTGTCTTGGACTCTGCCTGACCACTTTCCTCCTCGCTGTCTGAAATACTCTTGCCCTTCACACCCACTGGCTTACTCTGTGAAAAGTCTCTGCTCAAGCCCCACTCTGAGAAAAGTGGGCAGCTTCTATGACTCTGCCTGGCCTTTAGCATGTCCTATCTCTCTCCAAAGTACATAAATTCCTTTAAAATGTGACAATTCACTATTTTGCATGTGCTTACTTTCTAATTTGGCTGTCAAACGACACCAAACGCACAGCAGGTTTCCAATATTCCTAGATGAATGAACAGTTACAATTGTACAACCCTCCGCTGACATCTTCAAACATAATATTTAGATGAATGCACAGTAACAAGAGTGTTTTAGGGCTAGGGGTATACCCCAGTGTAAACGAGTGCTTCTTACAAAGAAGGCCACAGGCCTAATCCACAAACAATCAAAAGAGTATTTTGGATAATTTTATGTCATACAACAGGATGCCACGTAATTTAGAGCTTAACTTCTGATGCTCCAGGGTGAGCAGAGAAGGACCCTCTATTTGATGCATAACACATATACTTATAAGCGAGACTGCTCTACATGTCTACTTCTAGTTTCTTGTATTTCTTTTAGATAAAATAAAAAATATCTTTCAAGGAATTATGTCTTACCGGTAAGTCGGTGAAAGCAATACCTATAAAGAAAAAAGAAAG